AACTGTTTATATATCATTTCTAAAAAATAGGTACCCTAATGTGTACACCAGGATTAGTGTTTTTATTTATTCCAAAACAATGCAGCAGTTTATAAACACATTCAATTATCTCTAGTATGCTAAATTTTGGATTGCTGTGAATTTTGCTTGTGAATTTTTCAAATAATCCTACGCCTATGTGATGATTTGCTACATCGTTGCTAAGGGTCGACGGTCAAGCGTATGATGCGGCACGCGACGCAGCTCCTTTTTTGCGATACATAAAGAAATATCAGAAAATTCGAAAGCAAACATTAATATAAAGACTGTGCAATGAAGGTTAAATGAGTTTCAACTAAATGGGCATGTTGCTAGGGGAAAGCCTTTCATATCTGAAAGGAATCGCCGATCCAGGATTTAATTCGGGAAAGAATACGTTAACTGGATGCCACAATTATAATAAACGGTTATCTTTATCGATGAATCTAACAAGGAGAGGTGATAGAGTTTGTAAAGCTGAATTCAATGATACGCACTGGATAATGGTAGAAATATGTAATCCTATTTAAAAAAAAAAAAACATCGATAGCCTTGAAATCTCGAAAAATAATTCTCCTTAATAATTCTGTGCTGGTACCAGTACCGGACATATTATGGAGTGGGGAGAGGTGGAAGGTTCGATATGGCCCCCCTGCCAGAACACGCCCCCCCCCTCCCGCCTCTTGCCACACGGTGCCACGCGCCGTAATCCGGGGCGTCTTTCTGCCTTATATTAACAACCTTAACACAGAAACTGTAAGCCGTCTGCCCCTACAATCGGGTATCATTGGATTCAGCTTCACAAGCTCTATCACTGTATCAAATCTCATAAAAAAATAAATAACCCCTTGTTGGGGTTAATAGGAAGGGTTCATTTCTGCTAATAAGAAAAACGAGTTTACCCTACTTTTTCGTGGGCGTTAGAATGTGGTTTGGTGGGGATCGATCCTACACTTTGTTCAGCGGACTTCTTCTAAATAAGGTCCATTTATTATTGAATTAACATTTTGCATATGCGAGTTGCTAAAAGTCACCTCGAATTGTGTTTCAAGCAATTTGATAATGCGGTAAAACGTCTATTCCAGAACGACTATACATATAGTAGTTGCTCTTTACCTAATTCAATTTTTGTTTAGCTTTCATCCAATTACATCCACTTTCTGTACGATTAACGAGCATACTTTTAACCCTTAGCACTCCGAACCATTCTGGACGTTGGCTACCAGCTACTCTTCGGCAGAAACGGGCATTTACAGACCCTCGTATTATTTAGTATGGTTTTGCAACTAACTAACATATTATAATGATATTGGACTTATATGAATTTGTCTGAAACCCAGAAATTTGCAAAAAAATCAATATTTTATTTTTTATAATTTTGTTATTGTTTGTTTTATAATTTTGTTTTGTTGTTGTAATCGTTATCTATGCGAACTCTTTCTCTCGTCGCCTTGTTGAATATGAATAAATACATAGGTTGGAAATTTCTAATTGTTATTACTAACTCACAAGATGATATTTACCAAAAAAACTTTTATCATACAATTTATTTATCAAGGGAAGAATCAGTTTTCCGATTTTCTCACTCGTTAGATCTATCTATACCGCTCAACGCTTCAAACCAGACTGAGTTCAGCTTTGAAAATCTTTTCCTCTTTTCCTTTATGATTATAAATCTCACTATACAGTGCATGCTATGTTCGCATACCGATCTTTCTTCTACAAACTTGCCTTATCGCTCTTTTCAAGTGGCGTCTTTGAAGTGCTCGGACCGTCGTGAGCACGCCTCTCACGTTCTCGTCAAAACTCGCTGACATTTCTTGTATATATCTTAGTAATTTTACTATATTTTGATTTGATTTCTTGTGCCATTTCAAGAGAAAACTTCAAGGAAACATGCATGTCTCAAAAAGTTGCGCTGAAATAACTCAATTCCCCGTAATCACTAATAAACTTTAATGTCCCACGAGAGGGGACATCGTAATTCTAGTAGATCACTCGAATGTCCCACGAGAGGGTACAGCGGAGTGCAAAGGGTTAACTATAAATTCAAGGGGCGATAAGGGGATAAACATAATTTAACTCCTTGAAATAGGTTTTTTTTAAAATCCTTATTTTTTTCGATTTCGTTTTTGCTTCGATTAGAGTTATAAGCCGCGTCACGATGAATACTGCAGAAATATGCTTAGTAGACTCTATAGAAGATGTCTGAAGAAGATTTTTTTGCATCGGTTCGCATCTGCAGAAGTTATAACGATTTATTTTTAGCCAATTCGTGAAAGACCACTGGGTCAAACCAAACACTTTCGCGTCAGATTACTCTCCACACTGATTTATTTAGCCCGATATTGTGCGAGGGCTTAAAATTATCAAGAATATGTTCTTACAAAAGTTGTTTGGTAAAGAGGGGGCGTTAGATGATATAAACAATATTCCTACAGGTATAGTGGTGGGGGAGATATTGAAGTCAAATTAATATTTTTAAATGGGACTCTGTATTTTTTTATCCATAATATAACAGCATTAGTTGAAACAAATACAATGACCTACAACATGATATCATTCCGTGTAGTAAAATGAAATGCATGCGTTTTAGTCCGTTCTAAAAACTCATTATACGATATAACTATAAACTTAATATCTATTTTTGCATAGATACTATAAAATATGTGAAAAACAAGGATAAAAATTTGATTAATTAATTAATTAAACAAATTTTAATCATTTATAAACATAATTTTTCATCGTATTAAAAAATAATGCCATAATCAGATTCTATAACCCAGAGAACTCCTAAAACTGTTACGCTTATAATGAAAGATATAAACAGAGAAAAGTTACAGAGAAAAAACTATGATCAATTTCGCTATCTTGATACAGTTACGTTAGAGAACTGCCAACAATCGTCGACGAACCCAAAACATTTATGAAGCAGGAAATTGAACAATATATTTTTGCATAAACAACACGAAAGTTTCTAAACGAGATCTCACGAATTTTCCATTTATGAGATATCATAAGAATCATATATTATTCTTTTCCTCCGTTTCTGATAGAAACCAAACACCACAGAAAGCCCGTCGATTTGCACGTTTAGTGATCAGACCCTAAATAAATATTTATATGTAGTCGCTTCAATCACATATTTTTCAACGAAAAAATTAATACATTCATACCTCATATTTCTCGAATACGAGATAAATTATCCAAAAAGTTTCAAAGGAATCGCTCTATAGCTTTTGAAACAAAATTGCAAAAATGACTTTCCTTAAATACATATTCCAAATCGGAATCCCCTTATAAATGGCTTACGAAAGTGCTAAGTGTGACAACATCTTTAAATTGTAATAATTACGTATAATGTCTACTCATAATCTATGATTGATACATTTGTAACAATCATGTATAATGTACACCCCTCTCCAAAAGTATTAGGACACTTACAGGAAGTTAAATAAATATGAAAACCCGATTCAAAATTCTTATGATTGTTTTAATTTAATTCGATGTTAATTACGTTAAA